TGCCCTCTATGCCACCCCCTCCATCCTTCAGGTGCTGGCCAAGAACACCTGGCTCTCCCTGACCAGGACTAGGGAAAGCAGAGTGGGCCTTTGCATAGACCCAGGGTTGCTGGTGTAATGGAGAGGCACTTTGCCTCCAAGTTCTCCTGGAGGGAGAACTTCAAAGTTTCCATCTGGGACCCAGTACCTTTTACAAGGATCTAGGGGCTCGGTCCCATCAGGAGAGGCCTAGCAATCACAGCTGAGGAAGAAAGTTTCTCTCTCATCAACCGTGAAGTAGGCCAGAGCTCCAACACCTCTTCCAGCTGCATGTCCAGGGGCTCAGGAAGAGCTGGGGTTCTGGGGGGGATCAGCTGACAGAGGAGGCATCTCTGGATTTAGGCTGGAACTGGCAGTGGACTGCATACCAGCCTCGTGGGTAGAGGGATTGGCAGTGGAGGCCTGGGGGCAGCGAGAGCTGACACATTGAAGTTTGACACACTTCTTTAATTCTTCAGCACAACTTCAAGTTGAACAAGTGTCACAAGACCCTGAACTTGCGACAAGTGTCACAAGGCCCTGAACAGTATCACAAGACTTGTCTACTCAACCAGGAGTTTGGAGGTGTCTTGGGCTCCAAAGCTGATTTGGGGGTTTGGGAAGAAACCTCAAAGTATTTTAGAGGATAAGAAAGGATTCTGGCGGGGTGCCTGGGTGGCTCAATCAGTTAAACATCTGCCTTCAGCTCAGGTCATGATCCTGGGATCCTGGGATCGAGTCCCGCATCGGGCTCCCTGCTCAGCGGGGGACCTGCTTCTCCCTCTCTGTCTGCCTCTTCCCTCTGCTCATGCTCTCTCGTTTGCTCTCTCTCAAATAAATAAATCTTAAAGAAAAGAAAAGAAAGAATTCTCGGGGTTTTATTTTGTTCAGAAAGGAGAATTTATAGAAGTATAGCTCACAATCTGCAATCTGCACCCCAAGACTTCCAACCTCCCATAGGAAATATAAAATGCAACCCCCCTGGGGCCTGTTCTTCCTGCCTCTCCACCAGATAGTCACGCCTCCATTCCAGCCCATCTTCCTCCCTAGTTGGTTTTTACTCAGCGAAGATCTGGCAGTATGTCTGTGCCAGCTTCTTCCCATTCTTGCCAGGATCAGTACCTTCCACCCTTGTGAACTCCACTAGCCTATTCCCTCTCTGTCCTCTTTGGCCCCTTCCTAAGGAGAAAGTCAACAATCATAAAAGGAAAATGGGTGAGGAAATAACAGCCTGTCCCAACGTCTGCGTCTGCAGGGACTCTATGGGTCAGAGAGACATTCAGGTTCCCAGAGAACAGGTGGCTTCCTCCCCTAGGTCAGCTCCCTTCCCTGATCCCCATTTTCTAGCAACTACACACAAATCACAAGCTTGGTGCCCACGTTAGAGGTAATTATGGCAGTGACCACCAGAGGGACATAGAGAGCAGAGCCTGCCGCCTACAATGGCACCATGCACCGCCCAGCCTCCTGTTTTCAGTTAAGACACTGTAATTGACCTAAAGAATTCTTTCGAATCAGTCTAAATTAAACCTCTTCCAGCACAATTTAAATTATATCCCAGATTCCCCTGATTGTAGACCAAGACTCTGAGGAGAAGGAGCCTCTGGACTCTAAAGGGATTCTCGGGCCTGTCCCTAAGACTCCGAGGAAGGGGGCCTGGAGAAGTAACAAGAAGACGGGGTGTTCTGGATGGGTGGGAGGGACAGTGCAGGGACAAAGCTGACATGGATATTTTTATTCCAAAAGCACGAGATTTTCAACCTGGCTGACCCCGCAAGCCCTTATTTCTTCTTTGCCTCGAACCCTCAAAGCCGCCTTGTTGGAACGCCGTTAGGCAGTTTGTGGGACGGTGTATTGGGACAGAGGTGGGATGGGGCTGGCATAAGGAGAATAAAGACAGGCCTGGTAAGGTCCAGAGTGAATGAAGGAGGGCAAGAGAAATGAAAGGAGCAAGACTTCCGGGTCGGAGGAGAGAAAGCTGGCTACATGGACTTCTGAGGCCCTCAAAGAGAGCAGATACACATGTGGCTTCTAGAAACCGGTCTCCAGGTCTTTGGAGGACGATCTGGACTGGAAACCTTGGCCTGCAGCCAGTGGAAAGGGGGTGGACACCGGCAGGAAACTCCCAAAAGTCTCACTGAGGCAATGGTGGGCCGGTGGGAGGGGAGGGGGGGCCACCTTCTCTGGAGCTGATTAAAGGGTGAGAGACTGCACAGCCCAGGACGATGTGCTGCATGACAGTGGTATCACATCAAAGCACTGATTAAGAGATACAGAAAGGGAGAGATAGGTAGAGATGGAATGAATATAGCACATACACCTATTTCTGCACACATGCGCCCATGTGACAGGGACCAAATGACTTCATGACCGCCTTCCCACACATCCAAGCCCTTCGTTGGAGCTGTTGAAGGAGGAAGCACTACTAGATAGTCGCAGAAGAAGGGCCTAGGGGATGAGAAGGAAGCTGAGCCAAAAGATAGGGGGCAGGGACCAGAGACCGCAGAGGTTTTGTTTTATGACACAGAGAAGAGAGATTTGGGAGCATCTGTCATACTGAATGACACTTTGGAGAAAGAGGTATAATTGGGTTTTTAGGGAGTTTTGCTGAGCGTGGGATGGTCTGATCTTGGCATTCACCACTAGCCCCTCAAGAATACCTCCAGTAAAGACCTAGCTTCTCTTCATCTCATGGTTTTCTTTTTCAGAATTGGGGGGAGGGGCGCCTGGGTGGCTCAGTCAGTTGAGCATCTGCTTTCAGCTCAGGTCATGATCCCAGGGTCCTGGGATCAAGTCCCAAATCGGGCTTCCTGCTCAGCCAGGAGTCTGCTTCTCCCTCTCCCTCTGCCTCTCCCCCACCTCGTGCTCTCTCTTGCTCACTCTGTCTCAAATAAATAAATAAAATCATTAAAAAAAAATAGAAAAAGAGAGAGAACAGAGTGGGGAGAGGACAGAGAGAGGGAGGGAGGAGAATCCGAAGCAGGCTCCATGCCCAGCTCAGAGCCCAGGGCTGGACTCAGTCTCACCACCCTGAGATCATGACCTGAGCCGAAATCAAGAGTCAGACGCTTAACCAACTGAGCCACCCAGGCGCCCCTCTTCATGGTTTTCAAGGCTCCATTTCCTTTTCGATGAGTGCTGAGGAGAGCCTCAGAGTTAGAGCATGAAGACAGACTCAGTTGTATTCAGGATATATATGCATATAGACATAGACACAATATCCCAACACTATAGGAGTCTTGCTTGGAAATGTCTTGATTTGTCATCTAGAAACCTGACGCAGTGCATAAAGTCCCCCTTAAAATTCCTATCAAGCACGGACTTCAGAACAACTCCCAAAGCACACATGCCTTTTACCCTTGCCACTAACTCACTCTGCCTCTGTATGTGCGAGTCCGTGTGGGTACAATACTCCAAGAGGAGCCGACGCGCTGAACACGACACACCAGGAAACCACTTGGTCTATCTCCGTCTCTGCCTACATAGACATAGGCGGCTAGCGGTGCCACTGATATGTCTTTGTAGCTAAAACAAAGGGAGGGAGCGAATGATGTGCAGACAGACCAGCAGAAAGATGGAGGACAACTTTTCAGCTGCTCTGCTTTCTGCTGGAATCTGTGGACACACAGGATTTCTTATTCCCTTATCACACCCACAAGGCCTCGTCATGAATCCTAGATGCTTCCTAATGACCGTGATGATGACAGAACAGAAATGCCTTCCCTCATCACCCGTCCACGTGCGCACGCACACACACACACCCCTCCCACGGCCTCTCTGCTGCCCCTCTCCCAAAGGTGCCTTCCTTCCTCTCCTCTTAGCCCATCAAGCCAACCTTCGGTGGCCACCTGTCTCTGGTCTGGCTCCCTCCACCCACGCTGGCACCTGCCTGGCAGCTCCCCGCCCCCTCAGCCCTCAGGAGGCCAGGGCCCACGGCCTGGGGCAGGGCACGCGTTGAACAGGTTGATGCTGTTCTCCTGGAAGTAGAGCAGGAGAGGGGTGGGGTCACCGGGGCAGGCGGGGTCCCTGGAAGCCTACATCCTTGCCTCCAGAGAGGCATAAACCTGTAGCCTGTCCTGGTGAGGGACAGTAGCTCTCTCAACCTACAGACTGAGCCCTGGGCCCTTATCGCAGATCCGGCTGCTAGACAGGACCCAGAACTGCTCTCTGGTAAGAGCTTGATGACAGCAGGGGAGGTGGGGGTGTTCTGGGGATGAACAAGAACATGGGTGGGAAGAGATGGGCCTAGGAGTCCCCTTGAGCCCAGGGGAGTAGGTATCTTCATAGGCCTTGAGGGGAAGAGCCAGATGTGATCCTGTGAGCAAGTCTCTGTTAAGGAAGAGACAGAAGTCACCTGATCCCTTCCCGCGGGCATCGGACTGGCCCCTGGAGGTTGTCCTGTCCCATCCTGGCCCACTTGGGAATTAGAGGTGAAAAAGGCACCTTGGAGCCCATGTGATTGGCAGGTGGCCCATGCACCTGTGTGTGTGCCTCCCACTTCCCTGACTCTGTGAGGTGCCCACGGGGGACCCTCCAGGCTAGCGGGTGCGTCCTCCCCCCTCCCCCATGGCTGTGCCTGCTGGCCAGCCAGCCAAAGCACCTGGACTTGAACCTCAAAGGCAGGGACCTGAGACTATGAAGTTCAGGCTCTTGCAGACCCCACATTCTCCAGGGCCCTCTCACCCCAGTATATGTCTGGCAGGGCCACGTTCATTCATTCATTTTTTTCATTCATTCTGTCCACGCACATTTGTCAGGCTCTGGGCCTGCACCAGGCACTGTGCTCGGTGCCAACGCTGCAGAGATGGCTAAGACTCATTTCCTGCCCTCTGGGAGGCCACAGTCGAGTAGGCGAGAGTCAGGTGAACAGATCATAACAACATGAACAACATGAGGCTGCAGGTGTTTCAGAAGGGCACGCACAAAGTGCTCTGGGGACACAGGATAGATTCACTAGCTGCCTGACAGGGAGTGAGAAAGGAGTCACAAAAGAGGTGACCCAAATTGAGTCTTAAAGGGTAAATAGGGATTCTTTAGATTGGGAGGGAGTGTACTACAAGCCAAGGCAAAGATCGAAAGGCCTGGGTGTATTGGGTGGCACCTGGAGGGAAGTGGGTCTGTTCAGAGCCAGGAGCCAGGAAGTGGGCACAAGGGAAGTACAAGGTACAGGGAAGTGACCCCCACCCAAAGAAGGGGCAACTAGGGCAGGTGAACCGCGTCTGCCTCCTCAGGCCCTTGGCACCAGTGGGGGCTGCCTGCCTCCCTGGCCTCCCCGGTCCTGGCTGCGAGCGTTCTCTGGGGAAGACAAGGTGGGCAGAACTGTATGAGAGGAGCTTTACTTCCCTCACTCACGAAATGCTCCAGCCAGGCCCCAAGTCCATGAGGAACCTGAAGGAGGGGTGAGCCAAGAGCCCTTGACAGGGAAGGTCTGGCTTCTCTAACCAGCTGCGTGACTTCAGGCAAGTCGCCTCAGCTCTTGGGGCTGTGTGTCCTCATCAGAAAGTGGAGGCTCCTTTGGTTGTTTTCGGACCCGATACTCCGAGAGTTCAGGCGTTTTTAAAGGGACGCCCTCCCCCAGAGCCAGGTGATCTCTCTCTGCCAGGGCCCTTACCATGTCCTGGTTGCCCAACTTGTCACTATCCTGTCTCCCTCCACCCCCACAGAGAAAATGACCATCTTTGAAAATGTCACCCGGGCCCTGGCCAGACAGCTAAACCCTAGAGGGGACCTGACACCCCTTGACAGCCTCATAGACTTCAAGCGCTTCCATCCTTTCTGCCTGGTGCTGCGGAAGAGGAAGAGCACACTCTTCTGGGGTGCCCGCTATGTCCGCACTGACTACACCCTCCTGGATGTGCTTGAAGTTGGCAGTTCACCTTCAGGTCAGTTCCGGCGCTCTCGAAGGATGGGGCCCAGGCCCTGGCTTACAAGGAGGAACCCAAAGCTCCCTCTGCCCCGATGTGGCTTGGTGTCACTTAGCCCAAAGTTCTCCCAGGAGGGAGGGGAAGAGGGAGGCCTCTCAGCCTGGCCCCTTTCATCTTCTCTCTTCTGCAGATCCAACAGACTCTGGGAACTTTAGCTTTAAGAATATGCTGGATGCCCGAGTGGAGGGAGAGGTGGATGTGCCAAAGACAGTCAAGGTCACGGGGACTGCCGGGCTGTCCAGGAGCAGTACCCTGGAGGTCCAGACACTCAGTGTGGCCCCTAAGGCTCTGGAGACCTTGCACCAGGAAAGGTGAGAGTGGTAGGGCTGGGGGGCTGCCAGGATGGGGTTGCTGGTGCTTGGAAAGGGTGCTTTGGGCCCTAAGTTAAAAGGCAGGGCCCTCACACTGACCTTCACCTATAGGGTCATCACAGGAGAGCTCTTAAAGCTGACCATTCTGGGGGCGCCTGAGTGGCTTAGCCGGTTAAGCATCTGCCTTCGGCTCAGGTCATGATCCCAGGGTCCTGGGATCGAGCTCTGCATGAAGCTCCCTGCTTAGCTCAGAGTCTGTTTCTTCCTCTCCCTCTGCTGCTCCCCCTGCTTGTGCTTGCTTGCTCTCTCCCTCTCTGTCAAATAGATAAATAAAATCTTAAAAAAAAAAAAGATGACCATTCTGGCCCATGGGTACATCTGGGCCATCCCCTAACCACTCCCTCCCCCCATCCTTCCACTACTCCCAGTACCACCCCCCTGCTCTCTCTCTCTCTCTCTCTCTCTCTCTCTCTCTCTCTCACACACACACACACACACACACAAGGATGAGTATGTTCACATTAACTCTCCGTGTGACCTTGGAAAAGTCACTTTTCCTCTCAGGACCTCAGTTTTCTTTCCTGAACAATGATGGGGTTCCATGAAAATCTCTAGGGTTCCTTCCTAAACTATGAATGTATAAAAGGGAAAGGGTCTTATCTGTTCCCTACTGAAGCTTAGCCACAGCTAAGCTCCCATAAATCAAGCCATCTGCCTGGTCCCATATATACACACCAGGCAGCCCTTGGGAATGCTGCCCCCGCAGCACAAGGGGTGTGGCAGATGCCATGTCGATGCTGGGCAGCTCAGATGTTGGGCTTGCCAGGGGAACTGACTTTTAAGTAGTTAAGTAGTGGTTGAAAGAAGTGAGGCAGGAAGGAAGAGCTAAGGTGCTTGGAAAGTCACCCTGTAAACATTCATACAGCCTCAAAGGAGTGCAAAACACCCCACTAGGTGCCGGGGTGCATTGGAACATCTTTGTCCAAGAACCTCGCAATCAGGAGTTGTAAAAAAAAAAAAAATCTGTGCAACAGTAACTATAATCCAAGGTGAGAGGTAGTGCCTAGGAGGACTTTGCCTGAGTTTTGTGGCAGGCTAGAGGGACTTCTGGCTGGGGAAATGAAGTGGAACTTCACGGAGGAGGCAGCCCATGATCCAGGTCTTGAAAGACGAGTAGAAATCGAACATGAAGGTCTGGGAGATGGACATTACAAAGACACGTGGGTGAGAAACCTCAAAACCTCTAGGGAGCATGAAGAGCTGGTTTGGCAGGAGCAGAAAAGGTAGGAGTGGAGCAAGTCAGAAGCAGAGGCTAAGGCCCAGATCATGGAGGACCCAGGTGCCTGGTCAAGGATGTGGAACTGTTCCGTAGGCTTCAGGGGGCCCCCAAGGATGCCTTGATGTGTGTCGTGATTCATCTGTCCAGATGGAGGAAGTATGGCAGCCAGAGGATGAGAGGCAGGGGTTGGAAGCAGGCAGACAGGCAAGACACCATTCCACTGTCCGTCAGAGATGCAAAATGAGGACCGGAGCTGGGAAGAGCGGTCAGAATAAAGAGGGAGGAGCTGGCAGGGCTGGAGCACCTCTGGGGCGCCAGAATGGCCTGGACTTGGCAGCTGATTGCAGGTTGAGGGAGAAGGTTTTGTCAGGGATGACGCTGATGGAGATCCAACGTATAGCATGATGACTACAGTTAATAATTCTATACTGTCCACTGGAGATTTGTTAGGAGAGTAGATCACCGCACATACACAAAATGGTACCTACGTGAGGAGCTAGATAGGTTCATTAGCTTCACTGTAGTAATCATTTCTCTGTGTGGAGGTATATTTAAACATGTTGTGGGCGTCTGGCTGGCTCAGTTGGAAGAGCATGCAACTCTTGATCTTGGGGTTGTGAGTTCAAGCCCCGAGTTGGGTATAGAGATTACTTAAAAAACAAACAAACAAACAAAACTTTTTTAAAAATGTTGTATGCCTTGAATAAATACAACTTTTTAAAAAATAAATAATTAAATATATGAGAATGTTAAAAAATTAACTCTGAGATTTGACCCAAGTGATGACATTAACAGAAACAAGAAGACAGACTTTAGAAGAAGTATTTGGAGAGAAAGACTGTGGGCTCCTTTTGGACATTTTGAGTTTGCGGGTCCAGTGAGACAGCTGAGTGACCACAGTTAACAACGCTGCTTTGCATATATTGTACATCTAAAACTAACATGATGTTATATGTCAATTTTATCTCATTTTACTTTATTAAGATTTTATTTATTTATTTATTTATTGAGACCGAGTGGGGGGAGGGGCAGAGGGAGAGGAAGAGAAAGAGAATCCCAAACAGACACCCCACCCCCAACACTGAGCCTGGAGCCCCACGTGGGGCCCAATCCCACAACCTCAAGATCACGACGTGAGCGGAAACCAAGAGCCAGACGCTCAACTGACTGAGCCACCCAGGCGCCCCAGTTATATCTCATTTTAAAAGAAAAATTTTAAGGCAGTTGGAAACGAGGGCCCAGCGCTCAGGAGAGAAGTCAAGGTGAATATCCCTGTGGGGTGGTCGGCCATATAAAGATGGAAAACTATCGGAATGGGATTGCAGGGAAGGGATGTTCTAGAAATCCAGACAGCAGAGAACTGCGAACAGAATCTCAGAGAACGTGAAATTTGAAGGAACCGAAGAAACTAGCACAGGAGACGCAGAATCAGAAGGCTGAGAGCTGGGAGCCGAAGCGGGGTGGCACGGTGGCACCAGAAGCCAGGAGAAGACCGCGTCGCAGGGAGGCTTTGGGCGGCAGGGTCAGTGTTGTGCAGAGTGAGGGAAGGTCTGTGAATCTGGTGGGTGCGAGGTCACCGGGATTTCAGTCGAGGAGTGGAAATGGAAGTCAAATGATGAAGAATTTAGGAGTGGACAGTGAGGAAGTAAAGATGGTGTGTATGGGCGCGTCTTTTGAGAGACTGGCCAGTGAAGGGAGGGAAAGAAACAGATTGGTAATCTGAGGGAGTGGCAAGATCCAAGGACGGGTTTCTGGATGGCAGCAAGTGGGGAGGAAGGACTGGTGTTAATAGCAAGAGAGAGGGTAAGGGATGGGAACAAAGGGCCCCAGGAGAGAGGAACAGGACTAAGAACAGGGAGGAGGAAAGAGAGGGGAAGGCACCCCGAGGCAGAGGGAAAAGGGGGAAAGAGCAACCAGGGGGCGGGGCGGGGGGAGGCTGTTCGGGCCAGGAGCCGGCCGTTCTGGGCCAGGAGCCGTGCCAGATGATTTCCTAGTTTTCCTCTCAGCACCCCTGGAGGGAGGTGTCATTATCCTCATTTTATAGATGAGGCTCCCCGGACTCGGAGTGGCTGCCTTGCCCGTAAGCGGGACATCTGGGCTTCAGCCTCGGTCTCTTACTCCAGAGTCCTCACCCCTTTCCCTAACGCCACCGTGCCTAGCTCCTGCGAATGCCCGAGGAGAAGAGAAGGGCATGATGGCCCAGGCGGGGAGAGGTTCTGACCCATCCCTTCACGTGTCTCCTGCCCCAGGAAGCTGTCCACCGAGCACCCGTTCCTGAAGGAGATGCGAGACCGAGGGGAGAACCTGTATGTGGTCATGGAGGTGGTGGAGACCGTGCAGGAGGTCACTCTGGAGAGAGCCGGCAAGGCGGAGGGCTGCTTCTCCCTCCCGTTCTTTGCCCCGTTGGGACTACAGGTTTGGTTCTCACACTCACACACACACACACACATGCACACACTCACATTTGGCCTCTCCTTAGAGGCCACATTAACACATTAACTTTGCCCAATCAGTGCCTACCCAGGATACTGAAAATGACCCACTCCTTCTTCCTGCTTTTCAAGATTCAGGCCCCTGTCGGCCAGACACAAGTCCTCTCTCTGGTCAAGGGTGCCCTGTGTGGGCAGATGCCTGTGCCAGATGCCACAGGGAGCTATCAGGGAAGGGGAAACTCTTAGTCGTGGGTCATCCCTCATGGTGTTCCCAGTGCACAGGAGAGAGACATCCCTGCTCTCAGAAAAAGTTCTCAGTCTCATGGAGGAGACACACAGGTTAAAGCCCCGAGAATACAGGTTCTGAAGATTCGATGTAAATAAGTAGTGCTCTACATACCGAAACCTAGTTTGTATAAATATTCAAGGAGTGAGTTGGAACTGAGAGTAGGGTTAGTCATGGAAGACTTCCTGGAGGAGATGAGCATGGGCCAGATGGTGAAGAGGAAGAAGGAATGGGGCCTGTGGAAACTCTCAGGTGGGTCGGAGATGCCCAGGCAGGTGATGGAGTGGGTCCGCCCAGTTCCTTCATGTGTCTGAACCAGGAAGAGAGATACACACCATTAGAGGGATGATGCAGAAGGGTTTTGAAGTGCATTCCATGAAGTCCAGACTGGGTGGAAAGGCAGTCAGGAACGCGAATGAAGGGTTTCCAATTTCTTATCTCCCCAGAGGTGCTCGGGCCTGCCCCTCCACATGCCCCTCCCTCACCCCTTGTCTCAGAATCTCGGCCGGTTCATGAATCTTCATTGTCTGATCCTAGGGATCCATAAACCACAAGGAGGCCGTAACCATCCCCAAGGGCTGCATCCTGGCCTTTCGAGTGAGACAACTGATGGTCCAAGGCAAAGCAGAATGGGGTGAGCAGACACTGGCATGTTCTCCCCTCAAGACAAGAATTACCCGCATTAGCACTAAGGCATCCTGGTCCCCTCTGGCGGCAAGCCAGGGAAGGAGTGCTGGAGTGTATGGTATTGTGGCCCAGGGACAGAACAGCGGGGGCTACTCTGGAGAGGGAGTGAAGGAACCTCCTGGGTTCTGAGCACCTCCTGCATGCTGGGCACTGCGTTAGCTGGAGGAAAAGGGCACGGAGATGAACAAGCACAGCTCTGCTCTCGAGAAGTCTGGGGCCAATGGAGGAAACAGACCCAGATATCAGCACTAGGATGCAAGGCAGGAAATAGTGTTGTCCTAGGATTTACAGAGGAAGAAGAGAGTTCTTTCAGCAACAGAGGTGGAGCAGGGGATTCGGTGGGGCCTTTGGGGACAGGGACCTAGCCCTTAGCGGAGCCCATGGACTTGAGAATAGAGAAGGAAGGTGGGCAGCTGTTTAAGGGTCCTCCTGCTCTTGCCTCTCTTGCACCTTACAGATATTCCACATATCTACAATGATAACATGCAAACCTTCCCTCCTGGAGGTAAGTGAAATCGCTTCCCCTATCTTTCGCCCAACGCTGACATCATCTGCTAAAATCCTGCACCCTCTAATAACATATAATCCCTCAAGGAGCCCCTCGTTTTGTCTCCCAAGTCCCTTTATAAAAATATCTGTCCTCGACTTCGGGAAAGGCAGACAGAAGCACATAAATACTGCCCTAGAGAGACAGAGAAACAGAAAGAGACCGAAGTCAGAAGCAGAAGCAGAAATAAGACTGAGAGATATTGCGTGTTCCCAAATTGGAGGGGGGGCGGGGGGAGGGGATGAGCTAACATAATCTCCATGTTTTTATAATAATCACTGATAAAGCTGCCTTGACTTCCGCTCTAGATAAAAAGGCACAAATAGGTTTTATGCTGACATATGTACATTGTTTCTGTTTTCAGAAAAGCCAGAGGAGAAGTTCACCGGTAAGTGTTTCCTCTCATTTCTTTTTTTTTTAAGATTTATTTATTTATTTATTTTAGAGAGAGAGAGAGAGCACAAGCAGGAGGGGCAGGGAGAGGGAGAGAGACTCTCAAGCAGACTCCAAGCTGAGCGCAGAGCCCTACGTGGGGCTCCATCCCACGACCCTGAGATCATGACCTGAGCCAAAACCAGGAGTTGGATGCTTAACCGATTGTACCACCCAGGCGCCCGTTTCTGCTCATTTCACTGCAACTTTTTTGATGGAGGATTTTATCTATCTATTTATTTATTTATTTTAAAGATTTTATTTATTCACCTGAGAGAGAGAGTGAGCAGGAGCAGGGGGGAGGGGCAGAGGGAGAGGGAGAAGCAGGCTTCCCGCTGAGCAGGGAGCCTCATACGGGTCTCAATCCCGAGACCCTGAGATCATGACCTGAGCCGAAACCAAGAGTTGGACGCTGAAACCAAGAGTTGGACGCTTAACCGACTGAGCCACCCAGGGGCCCCTTGACACAGAATTTTAAAACTCTAATCTTTTTCTTCTCTTCCCTGAAAGACTGACGGGGAACATGACAGAGCAGGTCTCAGCAAACAACTGTCCCCAAAACATGGCAGAGATTCCAATAGCTTAGGAAAAAGTGGTGGCAGGGGGGATGTCTTTGGACAGAATACCCAGGTAGTCTGATGCCTCGACCTCTGACCTCGAGGGCGTCCTTAGCTGTAACCTGTCCCACGCACACCTGCTGCTCGGCCACCCAGCATCCGGGACGGATGAGTCACTAAATCACAGTGATGCCAACGCAATCAATCCAGGAGCTCCTTTTCACATTGCATTAGCTTCTCTCCTGCCCCATTCCTGCCTCCCATGAATGGAGCAAGTGTAGCCTTAAGATAGCTGAAATATCCCAGGAGACAGGATATATTTCCTAACCCCCATTACTGTTTCATCCCCTGGGCATGGCTACCATATTGGAGGAATACATTCTTGTCTCTTCTCCCCCTCCCCTTACCCTGGCATCTGATGCTGGTAAGGAATTTTCTGAGTTTCTCCCAAGACTTTGGCATGGAGGCAATGGGGTGGAGCGAGGGAAAGACAAGTGCTGGGTCCCAGGACTGGGCAACTGGAGCCACTTCTAAGAGCTTCCAGAAGCTACTCCCCTGGACATATTCTTAGGATGCCAGGCCCTTAGAGGGTCAGGCCAAGATAACCCTGATCCACCCACATCCTTGGATAAAGACCCTCCCATCCTAGCCTTCACTCAGTCACCAAAGTCATTCTTCTTTGTCGAATAACTCCTAAGAAGGGGAAATAGACTTTCCTTCTCAACTTTAAGCTGGAGGCTTAGAGAAAGGGAAGTCAATTATCTACTGTCACGGGATGGGGCTTGGGAGCCTGGGGAGAATCAACTGCCTGCTTAGATGATAATGTGGGTCCTGCTCCACCTCCTTGCCCAGGCCATCCCCCACGAGTCAGGACTCGTGGAAACTTCATAATCATGTTCCCTGATCAAGAAGAAAGGGAGGCCAGGCTCAGGCTGGGTGCAGAGCACAGGGATAGAAAGGGGCTGAATGGGAAGGCTGCCGGATGGAGGGTGCTTGGCTTACCATGTTCACTGTCTCAATAGAGGAGGAACATGAGGACTTCAAGACACTAAAAGAAGAAGTTCAAAGAGAGATCCAAGAAGTGAAGAAGCTAAGCCGGGTAGGGCAAAGCTCCCTGCTCACCTCCCTCAGCAAACTTCTTGGGAGGAAAAAGGAGCTACAGGACCTGGAGCTCACGGTGAGGCCCCAGAGGAAGGTGGCTGCTGGATGTGTGGGTGGGTGTTGCAATTGGCAGGGGATCTGACAGGATAGAAGGTGGTCAGCGGCCAGGAGAATTGATGGTGGGTGTCTTCCTCGAGGCTGGCCAGGTGCCCCCCAGCCTGCCCAACTACCACTGCTCTGGAAAAGGGCACACAGGGCAGATTCCCTCAAAGCACATGCTCCCTGCGGACAGACAGAGGGTAGGCAGCAGGCCAGCAGGGCCCTTTCTTGGAAAGGGGACTGGAACCTTTCCTTCCCAGCGTTCAAGGCTCAGGGACCAAGAAATCCAGGAGTCTGGTACTTTTCAGGACTTGACACCTTGAAAAAGAAACAAGGAAAAGAGAGATAGTTAGCACATCTCAAGAGACTGTGATGTGCCAGGCACTGTGCTGGGCCCCTTACCCGTGTTATCTTAAATAGTTGCCCACCTTTCCCCGCAGCTTGAAGGGGCTCTAGACAAAGGACATGAAGTGACGCTAGAGGCACTCCCAAAAGATGTCTTGGTATCAAAGGAGGCTATGGGTGGCATCCTGTATTTCCTCGGAGCCCTAACACGTAAGTAGAGAATAAAGTCTTCATTTATATACCTTTTTGGTGATAGGAATGAATCACTGGATGAATTCCCAGATATATGAATAAATGAATGAATGCATGCATGCATGCATGCATGCCAGGCAAATTATACCACAGTTAAAGTAGTTTATATCTACATTTAAATAAATTGGTTATAGGATCACCTGGCTGGCTCTTGGTAGAGCATGCAACTCTTGATCTTGGGGTTGTGAGTTCGAGCCCCACATTGGGAAGAGAGACTGCCTTAATAAAATAAAATAATAAAAATTTAAAAAATTGTTTACCTTCCCAAGGATTCATCTGGATAATCTGAGAAGGTGGCCTAGTCTTGCTAATAGAGGTTGGGAAATAACCCTAGCTTTACCAGCCACATATTTAAAATTTCTACATATGGCTAAACTCATCACTTCTTAAAAAAAGATTATCTTATTTATTTATTTGAGAGAGAAAGAGAGCAGAGTGAGAGAGAACAGGAGTGGAGGGAGGGCAGAGGGAGAGGGAGAAGCAGGCTCCCAGCTGAGCAGGGAGCCCAATGTGGGGCTTGATCCCAGGACCCTGGGATCATGACCTGAGCTGAAGGCAGACACTTAACTGACTGAGCCACCCAGGCGTCCCTAAGCTCATCACTTTTATATAGAAATTTGTTAGCTTTAATTTCAGAGAGTAACATCTTCTCATCTTGCCCTGAACTCTCTTCTTCCCTCTCCATGAAACATTGCCCCACTTAGAAAAACTCTCTAGTCCTTCAGGAGTAAGCTGAGATGTCTGTCCCCTTAAAAAGCCTGCCCTCAAATGCCAAGTCCAAAGTAGACCCCTCAGCTATCGCTCCCTTAACACCCTGTACTGTCCCTGCACATGGCTTAGTCTTCTCCGCTGGCCTGCAAGTTCCCTGAGTGAAGGGGTATGATTTTTACCTGACACCCCCAGCAAAGGTGCACAGCATAGAGCAGCATTCAACCTTGGATAAATGTGTGGATTAATTAATGCTGAAATTCTGGAAGTGTACCTCTTTGGAGTCTGGAGTCCCCCTTTGCACCAGCACCATATGTTCATTTCTCTGGGTTTTTTTTTCCTCCAGAGCTAAGTGAAGCCCAACAGAAGCTGCTGATAAAATCAGTGGAGAAAAAGATACTACCCTTGCAGCTAAAGCTGGTGAGAGAAAACAGCAGGTGCTGGGGAGAGCTTGGGAGGGAGTCAGCTGGAACCAGTGCAAAGATACAGACTTAGCCTAACGACAGACTGTCCTGGAGAGCCTCTGTCTGTCCTGGAGAGCGTCTGTCATAGGGCAGGGGCTCATGCCCACAGCTCATTTGTCTCCATGTCCTCCCTTGTTTGCTATTTCGCAACTGGAAGTAAAAGAGTGAATTTCTGGGCAGTTGTCTGGGTTTTTCAGCTTGAAAAGACAGAAAACCCGGGCTTTGCTTCTTCACAGCCAAGTGATGTGAGCAAATCTCTTCATGTCTCTAAGTCTGTCTCAATTCACTCCTCTGTAAAATAGGGCTTAAAAAGGGGGGGGGGGCTGCCCACAGTACAGGGTGGTTATAAGGCCCACATGGATTTGTAATGGAAGGAGTTATAGTAAGAGACAGGTAGCCCTCTTCATGGTTTTTATGAGTTAGGAGAAAGGAGGACAGGTTTCCAGTTCTTTCTTTTCATGTTATTTTGGTTCCTTGCAGGTGGAGAGCACAATGGAACAGAGTTTCCTACAGGATAAAGAGGGTGTTTTCCCCCTGCAGCCCGACCTGCTCTCCTCCCTTGGGGAAGAGGAATTGACCCTCACAGAGGCCCTAGTGGGGCTGAGTGGCCTCGAAGTGCAGAGATCGGGCCCCCAGTACACGTGGGACCCAGACACCCTCCCCCGCCTCTGTGCCCTTTATGCTGGCCTCTCCCTCCTGCAGCTGCTGACCAAGGCCTCCTAACTGGCCTTTTCCACCTGCTTCCTGCCTCCTAATGCCTTCCTGACCTCACTGTGCTGTGTTCTTAACACCCAAGGGTATTTTAGAGCCCCCAGACTGAAGATGATGGAAACCCTAGCTGATCACCCAAGATAAGTGATTTCCACTTGTCCAGCTCTACCTCTTCCCCTACCCCTTCAGCTCCACAACCCATCTGCTGATGCTTAAATTCTTTAAAAGTGGAAAAGTTCACATTTTTAAAACTATGAATCATTTCAGCAAAACCAAAAATAATTAATTTCCTATCCCAATTCCTCCTGCTTATGCTTCCACAAATCAAGTTTTACTGGAATTAATGGAAAATATGGTTCCACTTTGGATGAAATGTCTTTTGGTGTTTTTCTTAACTTCTGCCAGGAAAAAAAATAGACATTATCATACTACATACAGATCATGTGTACATGAGTTCTATTATACTGTCCACAGGTCAGCTGGAAAATGCCCAGAGAACTATGAGGGTGTAGAATGTAGAATCTAAATTCTAAAGTGAGGGGCGCCTGGGTGGCTCAGTCGTTAAGCGTCTGCCTTTGGCTCTGGTCATGGTCCCAGGGTCCTGGGATCGAGCCCCGCATCGGGCTCCCTGCTCCGCGGGAAGCCTGCTTCTCCCTCTCCCACTCCCCCTGCTTGTGTTCCCTCTCTCGCTGTCTCTCTCTGTCAAATAAATAAATAAAATCTTTTTAAAAAATAAATAAATAAATAAATTCTAAAGTGAGAAGATCATCAAAGAAGCTTGTCTTCAAAGAGGAGGGTTTAGGATCCTCTGGACTCAGGTTAAGGGACCAGGACAGCCTTATTTGTGGTACAAACCCAAAACAAGAGTAAGAAAACTTTCAAGTATATCAAAAAGAAAATGCAGGTAAGCCTTTTTAAAAAAATAGTACCCAAGAATAAGACTGACCCATAACTTTAAAAAAGAAATTGTTATATTATCTTATTTCACCTTTCCCTCTTCTGACCTCAATTCAGGGTAGTTGTAGGAAGTAATGTGAGCTTGCCATATGGACCTGCAAATATGGATATTGCAATCTTTTAAAACTAGTGGGTTCATACCATCCTCCTCTGCCTAAAGCTGGGTTTTAACATCTTTCGCCAATTTCTTTTAAAGTAGTTTTATGGGTGGAATAATTTCTCCAAGGTTTTTGGCCCCAGGAATCAGACTCGCCCCTTTCCTAGGCACCACCTCCCCTGGCTAGTTCCCTCACTAAACAGGAATTCATGATCAACTGCCAAAAGCTTTCTGTTAAGCCATCCTGCCCCATTCTGGGGCATCTTCCAATGCCTCACTACATTGCTCAAAGACATCCTGAGTAATTATCTGCTGACCTGGTTGTTTTTCTCTTGTGATGTACACTTAATAAAGAGGTGAGCTAACACCCTAACTATCCAGAAGGGTAACTTTGTAAGGATGAACAACAAAGCTCATCTGTTTTCTGTTTTCTTCCTTTACCCTTCTCGCCCACTTTCAGTTAGATAGGGTGTTATGAAGAAAGGCTTTAATGAGTTTATTCCAGTGATGATTCAAAAGTCCTGTTATCTGTCCCGTAGCCCAAGGGGGCAGAGAGACAGGGAGGAATTGGTCAAGGCACGTTCCCTAAAACCGGACAAAATGTTTTTCCTTCAGCAAGCAGTTGTTCAGTGCAAGGAGCTATTTGCTGCAGTAGTATGACGAGGAGACAAAAAATATCCTCTCTATATGAATACAAAGAATATGGTCGAAACATATTCTCTGCCCTCTATGACCTTACAGCAGAGCTAGATTGTCTTGTAGGGTCTGACCTGGTTTAAAATTTAGGACTTCCAACTACAGAAGAGGGGCAAGGTTAAAGGGGGGGGGGGGGGGGGGAGGCCGGGGGGTAGTTTTTGTTTTGTGTCTTAAGTTGGAACCTGTATCTTCCTCCTGCAGAATCACTGGAGGATTCCTTTGAAAAATAAGTGGACAGGATTTCTGGTTCAATTTCCTTCCCCTGGGAATTCTTAGATTCTCTTTAGGTACACTATTATTCCGCTCCCCATTTCACTACGGTGTCTGTCTGGATGCAACCAGACGCCCCGACCGACTTCCTGAAGCCTCTGCCAATAGGGGCTTCCACCTGCTTTCCTCCCACCTCACCCTACACGGCAGAGCAGAGCCTCCAGCAGACTATATTCTGGAGCTGTTTTTAATGACTCGACGCCCCGAACGTGCTAGCTCTGGGCCGTACAGAGAGTGGACCCGTGTATTTTATACTGCAGTGCTTGTACACAAACGCACTCTCCCCCCGTCCACACTCCCAGGCTGCCGGATTTTACGCCTTATTTTTAGCTCTTGCTAAAATCTGACAAGGAAGTCTGAATCCCAATGATTTCTCCTACTCCCCAGTTCGGTGCTCACATCCCCCTTTCGCGGCTTCTTCCCTCGCGCGGGATGCACTGGGCGGCGGTCGAGTACAAGCCTCGAGAATCTCGACCGAGACCCCCAAACAGAGGGCGGAGGGCAGGGGGGCGCAGACTGAGCGAGGTGGGGCCTCATGACGTCATCACGCCCTGCGCGGCGATAGGCCTTACTCCACGCTGGTTACAGTGCTCTTAAGACTCCGATGTAACCCACATTGGAGCCTGAGGGGACATCTCGTGGACGCGCATGGAAAAGCACTCCAGAGGAACATAGAATCAAATAACACACTGAAGCTCTCCAAATGCCGGGCCGACGCATACAAGCTCCTCCCAGCTCCTTCCTCGAAGATCCGCCTCCATCCTGCACCTCGGCTGTTGATTTCTTTTCCTTTTGTGGACTCGGCCTTCGGCCTGCCGGGCCTGGCGTTTCCCAGAAGGCCCAGCGTCGGGAAGGGGTTTGCAGCTGCTCCGTCATCGTGCGGCCCGTCGCGAGCCCGCGCTTGTGTGCAGGCCCGGCTCGGTTCCTGGTCTCTGGTGCGAGGATTCACGCGAGGCCCTGGTCTCGGTCCCCGGAGTAGGCCGCGACCCCGGGCGCCATGAAACAGGAGGGCTCGGCGCGGCGCCGCGGCGCGGACAAGGCGAAGCCGCCGCCGGGCGGAGGGGAACAAGAACCACCGCCGCCCCCGACCCCCCAGGATGTGGAGATGAAAGAGGAGGCGACGGCGGGTGGCGGGTCATCGGGGGAGCCTGACAGCAAAGCGGCGGCGGCGGCTGAGCACTCCCAGCGAGAGCTGGACACCGTCACCTTGGAGGGTACGAGAGCCCGGGCCGGGGACGTGCCGTGGTCACGGATGACAGCGCCCCGGTGATCCAGCCTGTCCTCGGGACCCCAGCGCAGATTCCATCACCCCCGATTCCTTAGGCTCACCCCCAGTGCCCGGCCCCTACCACCCTGACACTCCTGACTCCAGCCCCAATAATGAATCATCTCTTCAGGCTCTGGATTTCTCCCTGAACATACCTCCTCCTTCCTTACCTGGGTTGCATCTAGAAGTGGGTCTCACTGGGCCTGTGGACTCTCTCCCTCTTCTAAGTCCTCTCTGACCTACTCTGTTTACATCCACCGAACTGATTCTAACGTCCCCAGTATGTGATTGGTTCCTCTAGAAACCGGTGTTTGTATTTATGTGTGGAAAGGGGGGTCAGGGTGACGCAGAATACTGGCCCCTGAATTTTAAGACTGTACAAAAGTTTTCTGTTGTCTTAGCTACCTCTGGGAAACTCCCCTAAGAGAAGCCTTTCTACTCAGTATCTTGCTTCCCTGTTTCTGTAACTAAGGTGCCTTAACGATCCCATTGCTCATTCTCTCCCTTCAGGCCTTTACTTCTGTTCCTAAAAAGTTGAAACACATTACAGACTTTCAAGTTTTTAGGTGTCATCTTTGAGTTCCTAATACTCACCTTCCACCTAAACTATGTATCAATCCCCCCATTTCTTTTCTCCTAGGTACTTTTTCCCAGTTTCTTACTACCGACCGTCTTGGTCCTCCAAGTTCACATTTCACTTTTCTCAGAGCATCCTGTCCACATTTGGAGTGGGCAGTGTGAGAGCTTCCCACTGTGAACTTGGTGCTGTTTTCCCAGCTCTGGATCAAGTGGAACCAGACTATTTATTGGGTCTTCTCTCTAACTGCATGAGAACCTTGCTCAAAAACATTGAGATAAGCAAAGTTAGGCTCCTGGGTGATGTTTTTGAGGATGTAATGTTGACTGCATCAGCCCCTACTCTAAAGTTGGGCAACAGGCTCAGTATCTAATCAAGACCGTTTTACCTAAAATAATGATAGCCAGTGGCAGAGGTGTGACGGGGTACATACATATGTTTCTTCTAAAGCACTTCATTTTGTTATTATGAAGCAGTTCACATTTCATTGTAGAAATTTTGGAAAATATGAGAAGTCTAAAGTAGCAGGGAATAACATCAACCATGGTTAACATTTTTTCCTATGAATTTTTGAGTTGCTCTCCTGTAATTGAGATCAAGTTATATAGACAGTTTGGAACAAGGCATAACTAAATACAGATGATTTTGTGTGCTTTCATCTAACATATCCATAAACATAATGTTCAATTTATTCCAGAAACGTTTGTTGAATACCCAATATAGTGGCTAATCATACAAGCGCTGGAATTTGTTTCCTTATCTCTAAAATGAGAGTAATAGTACGTACCTCACTGGGTCAGTGTAAAGATTAAAATGCTTAGAACGGGGCGCCTGGGTGGCTCAGTAGTTAAGCGTCCGCCTTCGGCTCAGGTCATGATCCCAGGGTCCTGGGATCGAGCCCCGCATCGGGCTCCCTACTCAGCGGGAAGCCTGCTTCTCCCTCTCCCACTTCCCTGCTTGTGTTCCCTCTCTCGCTGCATCTCTCTCTATCAAATAAATAAATAAAATCTTAAATAAATAAAATGCTTAGAACTGTGCCTAGCACATGATGAACACATAGTAAACCCTCTGTAATGTTAGTTATTATGTCAAGGGGACCCAGGCACTTTACGCTAAGTGTACAAAGGTAACAAAGAAACTACTAATTCATGTGTTCCCTTATTCCTCAACCAACTGCACTACCCAGGCACCCCTCTGTGTTACCAGTTTGGTAGTTGAAAACATTTCCATTTGCAATTATTCAAATGCTAGTGAAATATATTTTCATATTGGTTAGCTGTCTGGCTGCTTTTTGCATTGTCTATTTGTGTTCATTTTTACTTATCCTAATTTATGCAAGCTCTTTGTAAAATAAGAATATGACTCTGGTCACATTTGTTTCAAATATTTTTGTTTACACAGTTATTCAGAAGGATTTTTTGCAGAGTGGAGTTCATCATTCGTGTGTGTGTGTGTGTGTGTGTGTGTGTGTGTGTGTGTGTGTGTGTGATTTCTCCCATTGTTTACATTTAGAAAGTCTTTTCCTATTTAGAAAACTGATAAATCTCCATGTGTTTGTCTTTTTTTTTTTTTTAAGATTTTATTTATTTGACGGAGACAGCGAGAGAGGGAACACAAGCAGGGGGAGTGGGAGAGGGAGAAGCAGGCTTCCCGCCGAGCAGGGAGCCCAATGCGAGGCTCGATCCCAGGACCCTGGGATCATGACCTGAGCTGAAGGCAGACGC